TTAGGCCTTCCCTGTGCTAATGGCTTCCATGCAGGTTTTTAAAAGCAAGTCTTTCAAGATAGCCTGGAAGCTTTTCGGAATGCAGGAAATTTTAAAAAAGAAAGAAAGAAAACGCAGAGTATATGTTTAACTTTGGTCTGGTAGATCCCCAGAGTTAAATTTAGCAAAAGCTCAACTTTAAAGGAATCAAGCCATTATGACTTTTTTGGCAAAATCTAGATCTAATCTAGATTTTGATCTGCCTTGCATTTATGCTTTTTAAATGCTATGAAAAGTTAGTTACTGTGTAGGGTTTGTTTTTATGGTTGTTTTACTCCAGGGTGTTATTTTTATAGCAAAGTAAATGCCATCAGCTTGTGAAGTGTGTGTGGAGGATCCCAGTTCCGCTCCAGCTGTGTCCACTGTGGGGATTCCCTCACATCTGGATGTGTCTCCTGAACTTGAGGAGCAGACCTGACATTATGTATCTGCTTGGAGGACTGGGGACTTAAGTGGGTAAGAAGTCATCATAAAATATAGTTAAGAAAAGAAACTTGACTCCAATTAAAGATTGTTATCAGAAGAGAGGACAAAATCTGAAAGCTGGTGGTTTTCAACAAAGGCCCAATCAAGAAGCCTTCAGCCATCTCCCCACCCTCCCCATCATGCCTCAATCCTGGGGACCCATTTCATCAACAACTTATAGGGTTGACCCATTTAGAACGGAGCAAGGCCTTCTTGCTTAACCAAGGACTACGGTGTACTTTTGGTAATCCTGAGGACTCCCAGTAGCCTTGCTATGTAACACGAAGCTAACGTGATCTCGGAATCTTTCTGGCTTTACTGTGCTACAAGTGGTACAGTTAATGCTCTCTCATGTCTGCTAACCAAAAGGTTGGAAGTTCAAGTCTACCCAGAGACACTTCAGAAGAGAGGTCTGGCGATCTACTTCTGAAAAATGAGCCATTGAAATCCTTATGAAATACAGCTCTACTCCGACACACATGGGTTGCCCATGAGTTGGAATCAACTTGACAGCACCTAATTTTATATATATAAAGAAGGGCCTACATCTATTATCAGAGTCCTGGTGTGGTTCTGTGGGGTGATGCACCAGACTGCAAACCATTTGAACTGCAAGGTTGTCGGTTCAAGCTGATTCTTGGAAACCCTATACAGGGTCGCTATGGGTCAGGATCGACTCAACGGCAGTTAACAACAACAACAAAACCTCTATTACCAGAAGGCCCCCATTTAACCAGAATACTCCATCCCCCTGCACTCCTCTGGACCAGATTTTAGTCCCTGCATGTGTTTAGTGAGGACAGTGAACAAGAGAGTCTATAATCCCTTCCTGCTGCTGAGGGCGTGTGCATTGGGGGCAGGGGGTGTTCCCTCCACTTCCTTGAGGACTGACCCTGGGAAGATGTGTGGCAAACATTTCCACAGGATAAATAAATAGCTGAGCATCTATCATATGGAATATCTGCATCAAATAAAAATAATGATACAGACCTACTTACTGTTCATAAACAACTCAAGAGGCAGTTGTTCGAACAGAACATGGGAACACTGAAGGTTTTAAAATTAAGAAAGGTGTGCGACAAGGTTGTATTCTTTTACCAT